GCTGGATTTGTGCAAAATATTATAAAACTAAACTATCGCTGAGTAACATAATTATGTTTATATCAAAATTATTATTTAAGTCTTAAGATTTTAGCCCCGTGAGTGTAATAGGTGAGCTTCGTAGGTACGAGTTGATTATCGGGTACCTGTTTACCTGCACCGATACCATTGAGTTGATTCCCGGGTGATTAAGAGGTACGTATGGGGTCATTATATATTTTTTTCAATGTTTAGTAAAATATTTAGCCTATTTCCATAACTCCATAAACCCAACGAGGAGGTAAGCTGACAAGTTTCTAAAAAATGTTTTTTTTTTTGTTTTTTCATATTTTGAAAATCATTCAATTTTTATTTATTAATTATTTTTTTATTATATTATATTCATTATTAATTAAAAAAATTTAATAATTTGGTAAAAATGTCTATCACATAGTTTTTATAAATTGGTATCTGAAGGCAATGAGCGAATCAACTCACCTATCTATACTCACTCCACCATTGCTATTAGAAGGGTAACGACCAGCAATCTTGCATTTAGCTCTACACGCACATACACCAGGATGACTATTTATTCGGGAGTTTTAAGCGAAACTATTTTTTAAATTATATAGACACCTGCCGTTATAGTTCTGTAAAGAATACTAGATAAGATAAAGCTAACCTTAATTATCTCATGTTGACTAATATAATCACGGAATATTTGAACTTAAACAATTGTGATAATTCTTTAGTTATAATAATTTTTAAACCTAAATCATCATAAAATTATTCGTGATATTTTGGGAACTTTATAATATGTGAAAGACAAAAGTACATTTTAACTTATAATACTTATATATTGACGAAAACAGGTTATGTCTTGGCATGTATATTTAGTCCCATTCATTTTCTGAGCTTTTAATTCATTACAAATAGGTTAGAAGGTATAATAGATCAAGTAGCTCTTTATCAACTGTTTTTACCTTTAAACTAATATAATAATCAATCTTAAAAATTTTTTTTATAACCAAATAATGACCCTATAATAAGCAATAATTATTATTACTATTTGTCCATATTCTTTGGAAAATTCATAAATTTGCAATAAAAAAAATGAAGTGCAAGTCATCGAGATAAAATATTGCCTAAAGATCCTTGCTATGGTTGTAAAAAAAAATTAAAATTGGTTTAATGGTTCCAGAGATTGCTCCGAATGAACAATTTTTATTCTTTATATATTAGTACCTACAGATAAATGGCGCAATTAAATTGGCTCCCAAATACAGAATTTAGTATTGAATTGGATGCCCAACGTTTTTTTTTCAAAAATGTATTGGTTATCAAAATGTTGTCGATAATTAATTTAAAGTTAATCGTTATGCCCTAGTATAATTGACGTCGGCTACACTAATGATAACAAAATTAATTTTTAGTGATTCTTAAATTGCATTCCTATATTTTAAATCGTTACATCGAAATATATATATATATATTTTAGTTTGTTTTAGATTATTAATACGAAAATCTGCAAGAAAGGAAAAAAATAAATATTATTTATATATATTTATATGTATATGTATATTGTATATATATATTTATTTATTTTTTATTGAATTTGAATTTTTAAAGATATTTTTTAGATTGATAAATAGTTGGCAAATACTAGAAAATCTAATTTTGAAGTTGGCAAATTAAAAATTTAAATAAAAACAAAATTGGCATTAAATACAGAAAAATATGTTTTATTTTGAAATTTTGTTTTTTATTTAATTTTTTTTAATTTGTCAACTTCAAAATAAGATTTACTAGTATTTACTAACTAGTTATCAATCTGAGAAATATCTTTAAAAATCTAATTTTAATAAAAAATAAATATTCAATTAAAAAAATTTTTATTCAACCAGGCTTTTTTTTTATTAAATCAATATTATAATGGTAAAAGGTTAGAAAAATATTTAATCACAGAAGTGTGTATAACCTAAAAAAGTCTAGTTGAATAAAAAATCTATAAAAAAAACCTTAGTAAAACACCTGTAATTAATAAAAAATGATCTATTTTTAATAAACAATTTATATTAAATAAAAAAATCTTTATTTAATTAAACAAATCTAAAAAAAATTAAAAAATAAATCTAAATAGAAATAAAAATGAATCAAGAATGATTTAAAATATAAAAAACCTTAGTTAATTATTTTTTTTATGAATTATTAACATACATAATTGTTATACGTATTATTAAACACATTTTAAAATTTGTAACTCCTTACTTAMTATGTCAAAATAAATTAAAACAGACTTATTTTGCTTTTTCCTAACGCTATTTCCCTAACAGGCTAGGGCCTAGCCACTAGGCTCAACTTGTGTAAAACACATAACATGTATCAATAAGTATCACAATATTTTTCCTTGGTAAATATTTAACTGGAATTTTTTTTATTCTTGATTGTATGTACATACTTACCCTCAATAAACTGATATCATTTCTTCCCGTATAATCATCATATGATTCGTGTTGATATATTTTTTTAACATATCTCTTCAACTTCCTACTCATATTTATATATCGGTACACCTATAACAACAGAAAACTAGAATTATTATAATAACTAGTAATAAATGCAATGAATATATATCTATATTGTATCACATTGGAAGTATTTGTTACCACTATATTATATTTATCAACTTTGTTTGTGCAATGTGCAGCGGTTAACACGAATAGTGGTAAAATCAACGACCCCGTGCACATACCCTCATATTCATTGGATTTCGTATATTTAAAATAAACCACGAATGGATATTTCTGGATATCAAAAAATTCTCCATGGGATATTAGCTCTTTGTTTTCATTATTTAACTCTTTAGGTTCAATTGGTGCTGTCCCCGCTAACACATATTTCATCAACTGGAATRCAATAAAGACTTTTTGCATTTTGTCTAAAGCAAAAATTCTACTCGTGTATTATTCAATAAAAATTGTAATGATATATAACGTATTGATTATGAGTTATTTTCAACACTGTTACCTAAGCGACAAAATATATCCAGTTAAATATAAAGTCAAAGCTTCTTACTGAGTATAAGATTCAAATTTATAATTCACGAACATCTACAATTGACCAATTAAAATATTACGAAGCAATTTAACAATGTTAATTTGGAGAAGCGTATATAAGTTATGTTAAAACTTGGAAAATTTTTTACGTTTCTGAGATATGATATCAGATAGAACAAACCATTTAAGTTACGGTATTGCCTTTTTTAGGGTTTAGGGAGGACTCGAAAAGTCAMTACACTATCGAACGTCCATGGAGGCATGGGAGAAGAATCGTATCCATGCGATATATGTGACGATTCATGATCTAAAGGTATCAGAATCTAGAGTACCTTGTGAATACAGTTCTTCGAGAGTTGACAGGTGGATGATAAGTCATGGATTATAGCAGACTCACAAAAATACGGAGATAGTTATGTTAACGAAGAGGTAGGTATACATCTCGCCTCGACTCAGCATAGACATACATCTTATTACTCGGGTCTGATATGTTTGCCCGACACTCAAATACCCGACACCTCAATTGCCTGACACCATTTTCCCGATACTACTTTTACCCGACAATGTATTTGCCCGACAACACATTTGCCCGACAATGCATTTTCCGAACAATACATTTGCTTGACATTACATTTTGCATTTTTTTACTGTAAGTACGTAATATTATTATAGGTGGTACCTTTTTTTTATTTTCATTATTTTATTATTATAGCTTTTTAAACAGACAATAATATTGTTCTGCGTTAAAGTATTAAAGTAGGTAAGTAAAACTACATAAAGTAATAATGTGGTGGATATACTAAACTGCTATTTACGATAAGATTTTTTTCC